TATTTCTAACTTTTTTTTTCAGTTTCTAATTGTAACATTTAAATGTTTTTAGCAATTTCAATGCTTTCATCTAATCTAAAGTTAGAAATTAACACATTGTTGCATATCATAGATAAGTATTTATTTTTGCCGGATGTATTGGGATATGCGGAATGACCGACAAAAAAATTACTGTCAAAAATTGTGGAAATTATGCAAATTAAATGATCATTGTAATTTTAGGTACTTTTTTTTCAGAAAATTTATTTGATAATGAAACAGCAATGTCAATAGATATGATGGCAGGAATGGATTTAGAATATCATGGAGAAGAGCTGCAACATGATGATGACATACCGGATGAGAAGATGCTAAGCATTCCGCTTGATGAACCGGATACTTGTTTTGGATCCGAAGATGTTGATAAGGATAAATGTTTAGCAGTTAGCGAACTTGACGAATATCATAATATATTACTCAGAGTATGTTATATGTAATTAATTCTTGTGATTTCAGAAATTATAAATATTTAGCATTTTGTAAAAATTGAAGAAGTTGAGATGGAAAAAGAAGAGAGAGTTAGTTCGTTGACATTTTTTTTTTTAATTAAAATTTTTACATTTAAATATATTTTATTAGAAATGAACAGTATTATTTGATACTTTTTACTAATTTATTTTTTTCAAATAAGATAGGATTCAATAAATTTCATTGCTTTCTAAGGCTTTGTTTAATCATCAAATGAGTAAGTAATTATCGATTGATCACTAATTAATATTGATGTTATGCTCAGTAATATATTGATCATATAATTAAACCATGCAGTTTACCTACTTTGATAGATGATTCATTTCGATTTCTATAATTAATGAAATGATTTTCAGTCACATATAGCTCTATGGAATTTAACCACTGTAAATATTATTGTTGCAATATTCCTTTCACCATTTACATTTATGTTCAATTCTGAAATTGTTAAAAATGGATACTACAAATTATTTTATCGTGTAAGTGAGTTATTGCCAATTTACTTAAATAACTATTAGTTGTCGAATTTTATTTCATATAACAAAATTAAACATTACATGGTAAAATTCGTATAAAGTATAATTAGAATTATTCAAATGAATGCAATCTTTCTTGCCATGTTTAATTTTGCGCAACTTTTAGCTAAACTTTAACTGTTATTTAAAGTATAAATAACTTATATTTAGAAATCATTTTTACTACTATGATTTATTTATGCATTATGAATTTTTTTCTTCTTCCATAAAATTCTATTCACATCATTTCAGGTTGTTCTATTTCTAGCGCTATTCTTTATGGCTGCACAACTAATTGTGCTAATTAATCCATTACTGTACAGTTCATTTATGTATCCCACTATCGTCGACAAACTTTTCATTGAAAAACTTCCACGGTTGATACTTTTGATGAATTAAAAAAAAAAAAAAAATAACACAATATAATATGATGAGAATATTATTGTGCAACAAATTGCGTCAATATTTTTAGGATTAAATTTCGTAGAAATTCAGGAATTTCCTAAAAATGCTCAAAAAATTGTTGCAATATTTTCGAGATTAATTCTGGGATGATTCGGGAATTTCCCTAAATTGTTTGAAATCAAATCCGATAAAATTTCTTTCATTGTTGAAATTGATGACCTTTTTTTAAGTAGATAAGTAGACAGATCCAATATGTTGTTTTATCAAAGACTGAGAAAAAAGCATTTTGATTGGTTGTGAACGTGCGATAAAAGGAAGTGAATTTGAATTGAATTTAAAATAATTCCCGAAATCACTTTTTTTAATTTCCATGAATTTAGAGAGAAGAAATTAACTAATCGAGTGGAATCTCGATTTGGCTGCCAGTTTGATTATATCAGCCAATTGGTAGAACTTAACCTACAGGTCAATCTAAAATATTGAGAAATCAATCAATATTGTCATATTTAAGTGTTATTTTCAACTTTGTTCCAATTTCTTCAAAATTCTTTTTTCTAAATTTATATAGTTTATTACATTCAATAAATAGTTGATGTATTTCAATTAAATTTCAGCAATTATTTCAGGAACCATGTATTCCTCGGATCAAAAATGTATTATTATTACCATATGCAGTAATATTATTGATTATTATTGATTTTTTACCATTTCTATTCATAGTTTTCACTTATGCCTGGGATAAATGGCTTAAAGATTCACCATTTTGCAGTATTGCTAGGAGCCGTATCGAATTAAATAATCAGCGAAGGTAATTTTGTTCTAAGCATATTGCCTATATTCTATCCTATCTTATCCTGGATAGATTTTTATGCATAATTTTTGGTTATCAATTGCTGAAGGTTGTCATGATTATACATACCTTTATGGGTGGGAGTAATAAATTAATCTTTATGAACAGGTGAACTAGGGCTTTACGAACATGAAGAATTTTGCTTAGTTCGAGAGAGCCGATAGGTATTTCATAACAGTTGTGATTGAAAAAGTTTATTCAAAAGTAGATTAACAGAAAATTCAAAGATAGGTTTATTCAAAGGTGCATATCCCTGAAGATTAATTAGTAGAGACTTAGTCGAGTCGCTTTATTCTAAGCAAAGAGCAAACGTGTTGGTTTGGAAGTGTTTCATTCAAAAAATGTGTACATATAACGTGCAACGTAAGTAACATGTATATACTTATATTCCCAATATTGGGTGATACGAGGATATCATTTTTATATATA